AAAACTGTGATTTTGGATGTGATTAATCGCGATTAATCGTTTGACAGCACTAATTGTCAATAAAAGTCAAATTGTGCTTTACAGTGTTTGTTACCCAGTTCTATGATATGAGTGCTTTTGTTTGATTTTTCATTATTAAAGATGATTAGGTTAACCCTCCTGTTTAAAACTACACTACAAAACAAGCCACATTGGTTTCCATGCAAGTTGCCAAAAATCGACACTATGAAAAATACTAAAGATTCAAGGAAAAACGTAAAAACTGTATTGTAGCCTGCCAGAGATTAAAAACTATAAATATGTGAGAAATATAATAATTCATATCTGTTTTTTTATTGCTATTTCTATTGTGTTAGGGGTCAATTTGTACTGTGCATTTTTGCTATGGTTCTCAAACCCATTGTGAGAGTAAATGAGTTTCTCACACTTATTTTCAATGCTACATCAATCTAGTACTTTGACAGAGTTTTTGATTGTGAAACAGTGAATTTTCCTCGGATGAAACCGAAGGCAAGTCTCAATTTCAAGTAAACTTTGACTCTTAAATTTCATAAGTTTGCATGCATTTAATATGTTAGTGTTTGACAAGCAACAATAAAGGTTTTCTGTTTTTTACCTGACTCTTTAGTGTTTTTAGAAATGTTGATTTTTGGCAAATTTTAGGGAGCCATTAGGGATCAATTCGACCCCAACACAAGAGTTTTAACAAAATTGTTACAGCCTTTCCAAATTGACCCAACACATGGAATGACACAACTGAGACAGGCTTGTACTATATAGTCAATGTTACACAAAACACACAAATTCTCAGTATTTCATGACCTCAAGCGCTGGCAGAATTTTTTTTTTTTTTTTAATGGTTAGTACATAATAAACATCAGAAAAAAGACTCAACTGTTGAAGAAATTCATGAAGTGTATTTGCCGGAAGATTGGGTCCCCGATATGTCAACTATGGTCAATATTTCGGCTCAGTTCTGTGCAATAAACAAACCATTTCTGAAAAAGGCTTTTCATAATATACAACAAATCACAAGTTCAATGTGAAAATAATAATGTATGGTGAATAATAATTTTACATGGTGAGGTCTCATCATTTCGGATGCAGATTTACACTTTCCAATCACCGTTGGTGTCTAAATTAGTAAGTAAACATAAAGGTTTTTTTTACTATTTAACTTCCTCTTCCTTCTGTTGATTTCTCAGTGCAGTTTGTTGTGAAAGGCAACATCAGAGATATATCTAGCATATCTTTTTTTCATGGTCTCATCATTGTACTGTGATTGAAGCTGAGGTTATGTAGGCTTATATTCACTAGATGTGTGTTTTTGTGCAGATATTTTTTATTGATTGATCATTTTATCTATTCTAGAGCATCTGAAGGATGGTGCCTGATCAGGTAAGTGTACTAGCATAACTTTATCACAAGTTCAATGTGAAAATAATAATGTATGGTGAATAATAATTTTACATGGTGAGGTCTCATCATTTCGGATGCAGATTTACACTTTCCAATCACCGTTGGTGTCTAAATTAGTAAGTAAACATAAAGGTTTTTTTTACTATTTAACTTCCTCTTCCTTCTGTTGATTTCTCAGTGCAGTTTGTTGTGAAAGGCAACATCAGAGATATATCTAGCATATATTTTTTTCATGGTCTCATCATTGTACTGTGATTGAAGCTGAGGTTATGTAGGCTTATATTCAAGTTTTTGTGCAGATATTTTTTATTGATTTATCATCTATTCTAAAGTATCTGAAGGATGGTGCCTGATCAGGTAAGTGTACTAGCATAACTTTAGCGCCCTAACTTTATTTTATAATTAAATGTTACTAAAAGTGTTCCAACCGTATCGCTTTTGGGACCTTGAATGAGACACTTCCCCCCACGTTTCTCTGCTGGGACTGTCCATGGGAGTATTTTATTGTAACAAAATAAAATAAAATAAAAATAACATTTTAAAAAATCCAGATTGAAATAATATTTTACAAGACACCAATGGTTGAAAATCAGAATTATATCCAATGGCATGACATGATGATACTATGATCACCTTACTTCATTAGCACTGTTGGTAAATGAAAATATATCACTCAAGCATGCATAAAAATGCTAAATCAATTAAGAAATTTAAACAAAAAAGGAAACAATAATATATCAGAATTAAGCATTTTGTATTACATGAAATGCAGTCATACTAGATTCAGAATTGTTTCTTATCCTTGCATCAACATGAAAGCCAATTATTTGTTGTTTGCATGCAGCAGATAGTTTTGCTAACACTCTGCTAATGAGTCACCAAACCACAACAATATCATTGTGAATGTGCCATATATTCATGCATGCATTTGGCACACATCTGATTCTCGTTTGACCCTCAATGATTAGTTACTTACTTATTTGCTTTGTATCAGTTAAATAAACTATTACCTAAATATGATGGTGATTGGTAAATGTTGCCATAGTCAAAAATGTATTTATAATGACACAAAATTGTATAATTAATTTATTTACTTGGAAATAAGACATGTAAAAAGCAGGATAGTGTACAGACAATTGCTTAAATACACAATATACAATTTTCCTCAACTGAAATTTGACTTTACTCCCCATTTATTCAAACCCATAACATCTATATATTTAATGTGTATCTGACATTTAAGCAAAAACGCATAAAATATCTAAACCTGTGAAGAATGGGTGTTTTATCATAAGTTTTAATAAAATATTCCGATTTCTTGGCCTGGTTCAAACGCAGCACCGTTCATCGTCCCGCCCCCATCCAGATTCTTCACAGACTGACACTGACGCAAACCAATCAAATCCTTACAGTTCGCCTCATCTGATGACGTTTCTGCCACCAGTACGTGTGCAAATCAGCATCAGCCAGCGTGCAACGCTCAGCCAATCAGCGCCTTCCAACGAGCTGCTCTCCGACCAATGGCGAGGCTCCACGACGGGGAAGCGCTGACGGCTTATAAACAGGCGAGCGAGCGAGCGCCGTGAGTTACAGTCGAGACTCAGAGAAAACACGAGAAACACGGAGACAAGAGAAAAAGACACGCCCTTGAGATTAGTGCTTATTACTACAGTTCTCAGGTAAGAATATATCTCATTTACACTCTTAATTTAATCGGTTCATCTTACAAAAAGCTGTAAAGATCAAATTAACCCGTTATAGCTGTTTTGACTGGATCGATGGTGTTGAGAAACGGTTAAAAACCGTTGCCTCAGTTGGTAGACTAAAAAATATATATATTTATGTAAATATAAATGTACAAAAAAGATTATAAGTGCGTCTTGTTTGCTGCTTGTAATGTTCATTCATTCGATAGTAACCGGTAAGACAAAACGAATGAATGATTTTATCTTAATTAGGTTTTTATCTCAAGTAAATGTGTTTTAAGTTAAGGACTTTTGGATGTACGTTAGGCTATATCATAATATTAATATGTGGAGTAAATCGTAAAAGTGAGGATTTGATTTGATGATGGTGATGAATCGGCACCCACGAGGTTGAACTTGAGACTAGTTACTCTTAGTTACTAGTACAGAATCTGGTTTAGTTAATGACTGCTTCATATTTTATGAACAAATGGTGTCTATTGTTTACATTACTATTGCCCTTGAGTAAATATGTATTTAGTTTTTTCACATTTTTATATTTTAACTACTTAATATGCATTTGCAGTTGAACTCAATGCAGCCATTCATGTCTTCTTTTGGTTTAACTATCAAGAAGAAAATGACCAGATAATTAGTTTTTGCATGAAAATGCATTGCTTGATTTATAGTGATTATATAAATTATCCAGCCAGTGAGTGACGTGTGCTTCATTATGTACCTGCCCTGACCTGTGACCTTTATATTTAAAGTACTCCTTACAGAAATTAGTGGAGATTTGACACAAGATCACCGTCAAGATGCGATTGGTCTGCCTGTTCCTGCTGGTGGCCGGCAGCGTGTTTGCCGAAGAGGACGACAAGAAGGAAAGTTTTGGGACCGTGATTGGAATAGACCTCGGGACGACCTACTCGTGGTGAGAATGAGTTTGGATTTATTATATACAGGTGTCACAGGGTCATTAAAATGGATTTTCAAGACTAGGGAAAAGCGTGCATATTTATATACTTTTATATAAAAAAAATTATTTAATATTATTTTTATTTATGTTTATGTAAAGGCTATTTATTCTCATTTCACTTCTGTATTATAACATTTTATTTATTTTTTAAATATATGATGATTTATTTAATTTATTTATTATTTTCTATTAATGCTCAGCCTTAAAATATTTATCTATTAGAATATTTTACATAATATTTTATTTAATTAAATGTATATAGGAGTTTATATACATTTCGTTTCTTTATATTTTTGTTTTTTAATTTATTTTATTTATCTAGTAATGCTCAGCTTTAAAATATTTCTGTTATAATATTATAATATTTTACATAATATTTTATTTATTACATTTATATAATTTCCATGTGTGTATGTGTGTTATATATATATATATATAATCTACATATACACACACACACACACGTATATGTGTTTAACTGACAAATTACATTGTCTATTATTTGTGTGTTCTTATACTCTTTTATTTTGTTCCAGTGTTGGAGTGTTCAAGAACGGCCGTGTCGAGATCATCGCTAATGACCAGGGAAACCGCATCACTCCGTCATACGTGGCCTTCACCACCGAAGGTGAGCGTCTCATCGGAGACGCTGCGAAGAACCAGCTGACCTCTAACCCCGAGAACACCGTCTTTGACGCCAAGAGGTTGATCGGCCGCACATGGGGCGACTCGTCCGTGCAGCAGGACATTAAATACTTTCCCTTTAAGGTACACACATCTGCCAGCTTGTGTTTGAACTAAACATCCCTTTGACTTCAATGAAGAACGCTAAACACCTGCTGTGTCTCTTCCAGGTTATTGAGAAGAAGAGCAAGCCTCACATCCAGCTGGACATCGGATCAGGTCAGATGAAGACTTTCGCCCCTGAGGAAATCTCTGCTATGGTTCTGACTAAAATGAAGGAGACCGCAGAGGCTTACCTGGGAAAGAAGGTAAAGTTTTGACTCCAACACCAAGAAAAACCTCTCCATTGCACTGCAGTAGAACTCAACACCTGATCGGTTTCTGCTCTTCTAAAGGTCACACATGCTGTGGTCACTGTGCCCGCTTATTTCAATGATGCCCAGCGCCAGGCCACCAAAGATGCAGGAACCATCGCCGGCCTGATCGTCATGAGGATCATCAATGAGCCGTAAGCACTGCATTACTTTTGCTTTGTTGCATAACGGGTCGTTTTCTTGACTGCATCTTGTATCAATCCACATCAGAGTTATTTTAATATCACTGATATCCTAGTATAGCTTTTGATTTCATATAGGGTTCACGTTTACCAGCTTTAAGTTTTAAAATTTGTCTTATCGGGTTTTGTGGTCCAGGGTCATATATATATATATATATGCGCGCATTTAGTTACCAATAATAACCCTAATGATCCTGTTGCTCTCCACAGAACCGCCGCTGCCATCGCTTACGGTCTGGACAAGAGGGACGGTGAGAAGAACATCCTGGTGTTTGATCTCGGCGGCGGCACCTTCGACGTTTCCCTGCTGACCATCGATAACGGCGTCTTCGAGGTGGTGGCCACTAATGGAGACACTCACCTCGGCGGCGAAGACTTCGATCAGCGCGTCATGGAGCACTTCATCAAGCTCTACAAGAAGAAGACCGGTAAGGACGTGCGCAAGGACAACCGCGCCGTGCAGAAATTGCGTCGTGAGGTGGAGAAGGCCAAGAGAACACTGTCCACCCAGCATCAGGCCCACATTGAGATCGAGTCCTTTTTCAAGGGTGAAGACTTCTCCGAGACGCTGACCCGCGCCAAGTTTGAGGAGCTCAACATGGTAAGAGAAGCGCCGCTTTACCAAAAAATCCTTAACAAAACTAGAACTGCAGATATGGTCTTGTTTAGGGATCTGTGCCTTTGTGCGTACGGGCATCTGACTGCTGAGTACTGATTGTGTTTTTCAGCAATAGTGTGCACACTTAATTTACAGAGATGAAACGCAGATAAAAATCTGTAGATGGAAAAATCTCCATACAAGTTTTGTGCATTTTTATTTTTTTCTACTCGTTACTTTGCACTTTTTGTTAGAAAATGTTTATTTACCATTTATTCTGTTTTTTAAGGTATCTAATATTTTGATATTTATTTCCATGATCTAAATATTCTTAAAAATTTAAAGTTTGTTGTCATTTGGAAGTGTGTAGGCCTTCTTGCATTATTATGCCGTTACATTATGATTATATATTCATTGGCATAAAATGGTCTTTAAAATGACCATAATATCGCTTATCGTAATTATTTCTGGGGCAATATATTGCACAACAAAAAGTTATCGTGATAGGCCTAACAACTAAACCTTAACTAGCCTAGAACTATAATTTATAAATATTAATAAAACTGCTCATTATTAATAGTGTTAATAAAAGATTTTCATCTATTTGAATAAAACCGAAATTAAAAAATATAAATATTAGGGGGAAAAGCTTGAACTTATACTAATTTTCCTTTTGCTTAATTTTTTTTCATAATCTATTTACTTTTTATCTTTCATTCTTTTTTTTTTTGCTAATTAAAAAAAAAAAGTGAAATTAATTCAGTTTAAAAAATAAAATAAAAAAGCAAAACCTAATTAAAAATATTAATAAATACTGTAATATCTAGACTGTAATCTAATAATGTAAATATTAGGCGGAAAAGCTTAAATTTATACTAATTTCATTTTACTAATTTTCCTTTCGTTTGTCTTTTTTCATAATCTATCTTTTTATTCTTTTTCTTTCATTTTTTTTTTTTTGCTAATTTAAAAAAAATTGAAAAATTAATTAAATTTTTAAAAAATAAAGCAAAACCTAATTAAAAATATTAATAAATACTGTATCTATCTATCTAGAGAGAGAGTTTGGTTTGTTCTTTTTCTTATTTTAGTATTACTAAAACTGAAAAAAAAAAAACATTTAAATGACACTCACTGTAGGTTACTAAAACTTTTGAAAACTAAAATGAAAAACCAAATGACAGCTGAAAATCTAAAAATAAAAAAAATTCAAGATATTGATAAATACTGTTGTAGTTTATTAAAAATACAAAAATAACTGTGATTGTGCCTGTATCTGTTAAATGCATGGAAAACAACCAATGTGTTTGTTTTTTTTTCTCTCCTCGCAGGACTTGTTCCGCTCCACAATGAAACCAGTGCAGAAGGTTCTGGAAGACTCTGACCTGAAGAAGACTGACATTGACGAGATCGTCCTGGTCGGTGGCTCCACTCGTATTCCCAAGATCCAGCAGCTGGTGAAGGAGCTCTTCAACGGCAAGGAGCCATCCAGAGGAATCAACCCCGACGAGGCCGTGGCTTACGGAGCCGCTGTTCAGGCCGGAGTCCTGTCCGGAGAAGAGGACACTGGTGAGTCCGTCTCCAACCTCACATCTCGGGCTGGGCTCTATAATCACACCAAGTCTCTTGTGAGATGCTTACTGACTGAAATGTGTTGAACAGGTGACCTGGTGCTTCTGGACGTTTGCCCTTTGACCCTGGGCATTGAGACGGTCGGAGGAGTGATGACCAAACTCATTCCCAGGAACACCGTCGTGCCCACCAAGAAATCCCAGATCTTCTCCACCGCTTCTGACAACCAGCCAACCGTGACCATCAAAGTTTATGAAGGTGAGCAAACCGTTTCAGCACACAACTCCATTTACTTCATCTCGACTGAATTTCATTTACATTTATTACCACAGTTTTATTCGGTTCATTCATATGAAAAGAGTTTGAACGATTTGGTTTTAAATCTAAAACTTTTTTTTTTCTTTTTCTTTTTTTCTCTTCTCCCTCCATATTTTACTATATTTTAAGCCATTTTCACTTGGAAAATATCCATGGTAGCGCACATTTGCATTTGACCTTATTTTATTCAGGTGATTGATATGAAAGATTTTTTTTTTTTTTTCCAGATGTAAAAAAAACACAAAAAAAAAATAGATTTCTGTTTGTTTTTTACTGAATAAACTTAAACCATGAACTTATCTTGTCATATTTTGCCCATTTTTAAGCCATTGTAAGCCAAATGTTTAGATTTTATATTTAAATCAAACTGTATCAGATTTAAATTTAAAAAATTTTAAATTTGAAAAGACCTTTAAAGGTGTGAAAATGTAACAATGTAAAATCAATCAAAAAAAAAAAAAAAACATCTCACTTTAAAATAGCCATGATGGTGTTAAATTACAAATTACGCATTTTACATTTCAATTTTTTAATTCAAGATGAGCTTTCTATACAAATGTTGCTATATTAAGCCATCTCTCTCGTCTCAGATAAAAAAAAAAAAAAAATTTTTTTTTTTTTTTTTAAAGAGAAACTTTTGTTACATTTGAAACCATTTCTAATTTTCCTCTTATCTTTAATCTTCATGTTTCCAGGTGAGCGTCCGCTGACTAAAGATAACCACCTCCTGGGCACCTTTGACCTGACCGGCATCCCTCCGGCTCCCCGCGGCGTCCCTCAGATCGAGGTCACCTTCGAGATCGACGTCAACGGCATCCTGCGCGTCACCGCCGAGGACAAGGGCACGGGCAACAAGAACAAGATCACCATCACCAACGACCAGAACCGGCTGACCCCCGAGGACATCGAGCGCATGGTGAACGAGGCCGAGCGCTTCGCCGATGAGGACAAGAAGCTGAAGGAGCGCATCGACGCCCGCAATGAGCTGGAGAGCTACGCCTACTCCCTGAAGAACCAGATCGGGGCAAATTGCTCTTTCTTTAAATAAATTCAATTGGAATTTGTATTTTCTTAGGGATACAAATCTACCTCAGCTTCTCTGAACTACAGGGAGCACTTTTACATTACTATACGGTTACAATAAACAACAGAGCCCAAACTTAAATTCAATTACTATTTGTGACCCTGGAGCACAAAACCAGTCTTAAATGTCCATTTTGTGAAATTGAGATTTATGCATCAGCTCAAAGCTGAATAAATAATTTTTCCATTGATGTATGGTTTGTTAGGATAGGACAATATTTGGCTGAGATACAACTATTTGAAAATCTGGAATCTGAGGGTGCAAAAAAATCTAAATATTAAGAAAATCATCTTTAAAGTTGTCCAAATGAAGTTTTTAGCAATGCATATTACTAATCAAACATTAAGTTTTGATATATTTACGGTAGGAAATGTACAAAATATCTTCATGGAACATGATCTTTACTTAATATCTTAATGATTTTTGGCATAAAAGAAATGTATAATTTTGACCCATACAATGTATTGTTGTCTATTGCTACAAATATACCCCAGCGACTTAACACTGCTTTTGTGCTGCAGGGTCACATATTATGTTCTTTTAGTAAGCGTTTTATTTTGATTTTTTTTTTTTACATTTTCATTTTACATCTATAATTGAATTAGTATTTGGTTGATGTCGTGTCTTTTAACGGTAAAGCGCCATTCACACATCGGTTTCAAATTACCGGTAAATTCTGTGACCTCATTAAAGGCACAATATGTAATTTTTTTGCTGCTAGAGGGCGCGTATTCAAAACAAAGAAACAAAGGCATAGTTTGATGACGCCGTGACTGAGTGTGGAATCATGGGAGTTGTCGTCTTCATCCCCACAGCCGATGCAATCCGACGGGACTCATGTTCATGGATGAGCTAATGTATTAAAGATTTATTAACGTCGTAGTATGAAGCAGAGTGAGGCGGAAAGCCTTTGAAGACGAGAGTGACACACGGCTGGAAAGCAGCGGAGCTTTTATTATGCCACAGTCGACCGCTTCCGCTGCTTCCGGTCGTGCGTATGTGGGGTAAAGCAGCGCTGTTTTATCATACTAGATACATTTGAAAGTTCTGTTATAATGCTACTCTGTGCGGTCGTCACCGGTCTAATAAAACGCACAACATATTAAAGCGTCTTTGATGTTTCCATGTTTTCTACAAAACAAAAAATCGAGGGGTTATGACGTCATTGGCAGGCGACACAATGACACTATAGACACGGTCCGTGTCACTAGTTAAAATTGCTTATTTCTCTGGATTTAAACATTCTTTGAAACATTTAGGATAATGTAAGTACACAAGTCAGCAAAATATATAACACTGTTCTAGTGGTTTTTGGATATTTTAATACAAAAATCGTACATATTGTGCCTTTAACTAGAAATTAACTCTAAAAGGCAGCACCTCCCGGTGTTGTGTTTGTAAACGCGATTAGTGTTTTTGTTGACGTTTTAATTTTTGTGTCAAACATTCACATTGATGCAGCTGCTTTTGGCCCAGAGACGTCGTATTAGACGACTCCAAAACTGAACTACACAGCGTGGAGTAAATGCGTCATCTGCATCAGAATGTTCTGATTGGCCCAGAGCCATTGAAGTTTAGATTTCAATGGCTCTGGATTGGCCCGGAGTAAACATCTGAGTAAACATTATGGGCTCATAACGGCAATCTTCATTCTGCATTCACACAGAGCAGATTACTGGTAATGTTACAACAAATTTACCGGTATTTTTGAAAAGGTCCAGTTCACACATGATCTCTTAATAACGGTAATTTACCAGTAAACTCTGTATGTGTGAAAGGGGCTCTTAACATTAACATTAATTAATTTTTAGCTTTTCATCAACTCACAAACCCCAGTTTAGGAAGCCCTGTATTAAAAATACTGTTTAAAAAAGGTAACTGACTTTTTTGATGATTGAAACTTCATCCAATCACTTGCCAAACACATGGTGAACAATTACAACATCTAGTTTTAATGCTGAAAACAGATTCAGGTTCAAGGGATTTTCAGGAAATCAAATATTTTACAGTTTTTTGGACTTTAGAGTTGTAAGAGGTTTACTGAATATTAAAGCCCAGCGTTCATGTCAGCACAGTAACGAGGCAGTCGTTGAATATGACGCCCTGAGTGTCCATTCCTCCGAAGATGAAGCACAGATGCACCACGTCTGCGTCACATGACTGAGCTGCGTGTTCTTCAGGCGTCTTCACACGCCACGGCACTAAACACATGGAGTGATCCAGTCTGCTGGGAGGAGGATCTCCGTCAAACCTCAGCCGCGTCCAGCGCTGTTTGTCTGCCAGCAGAAGTAAGAACTGATTTTACTTTAGATGTTCTGATGATCTACAGAAAGACATGTGCACAGCTTGCTTTTCTGGCCACATTAGGGTTATTATATTTATATTACAGTTTTTTTACAATCATTTTTGCACTAATATCGGAACCTTCATGTCGTTTTTCAAAACTCTAAACAACCGATGATCAAAATGCACATTTATAAAACAGATAGTTCCGGTGCTTGATTCTGATTGGCTGAGCCGCGTCCGAAGCCGTTGTCTGTTGCTCGGCAACCACTTTGTTGCAACCACAACAGTTTCTGAGGAGCTACATTGTTTGGTGGAAGAATACTGTTTTTATTAATATCATTACACTTTATTTGCTCTGTTTTATTTTGTGAAACCTTACTACGTATATGGAATAACCGTTTTATAAAAGCAATAAGCCCCGTGAAGCCGTGGTTTACAGTGAATTTATAACAGCTAAGGGGGTTTTAGGCACTCCACTTCTCGTTATATTCTTATATTATAAATTCAATTTATATATTATAAATTCACTGTAATCCTCTGCTTCTTGGGGCTCATTGCTTTATTTTCAAAACGCTTAATGCTTGGATACAATACACATAAACCTAAGATCATTTGTTCATTGAACAAAAATGACACAACTTAACATCAAAGTATTACTATTTTAAAATGCAACTCTATACAGCTGCTCAAAATGCTAAGTAACTGTTGCATTACTCTTGATGCATTGTTTTTATGGAAAATGATGAACAATATTAGATGTTTAGATTATGAAATTGAGTATGAAGACTAAGTATGTTCAGGTATGATCAATTTCAAGAAAAAAAGGGAGAGAAAAAACAAATTCCCCAGAAGTTCTATATAATTGTTGTCAGTATTTGTTTTTTTCCTACAGTAAATGTCTTTTTAAAGGGTAATAGAGCTGGATGCTGATTAAAACCATTCATATTTTAGGATGAGGCAGGTTTTAACTAAAATGAACAAAAAAACAGAAAAAATGATACTAAAATAACACTTTTTTTTAAGGAGTCTTAAGTTTAAACTGTTACTCTGAAAGAATACTGATGCTAAAATCACAATTTTAATGTGCTTTTATTTTGACAAATTTCCTAAAAAAAAAAGTATGTTGTTCGTTATGACAGCATTATGTAAATCAAGATATATATTGAATATTCATTTAAAAGGCTGCAAAATCTTGAGCTGTTATAATAAGCGTGTGAGTTCGTACCGCACTGAAACTTGTACATGGCGTTTGTGGCTCCGTCTGCTGTCATTCCTCCGAAGATGAAGATGTTTTTCCCGAAGGTTACGGATGAATGAGCTGCTACTCCTGGCGGTACGTCTCCTTTAGCTCTCACCTTCTCCCATTTCATTGTTTCTGAAAAATATGAGAGAAGAAAAGAGTGAAATACATCAATATGTGCATGAGGACAGTTGAGTCTCTACTTGAAAATGAAGAAAATATACCCGGATCATTCATACAACTTTACATTTTTATGCCCCCATCATGAATAATATGTGACCCTGGAGCACAAAAGCAGTCTT